TGTAGTCATCATTCCCCTCCCTACCACCATCTGTACACACTTTCCCAATAGACCATCACAGCTGTCCCGTTTCTCACACAAACAGTACCTTTTATATGCTTCCCAACTGTTTTTAATAACTGTTCTGTGCACAGCACTGTACTTCCTTTGTTTTCTTTTTTTTTTCTTTTTTTTTTTTTTTTAAATATGAAAAAGAGATATAGTCCAAACAAACAGGTCATCGCAGCAATCGGTATAGGAAGGCAATTAAAATGTTAAATGCCTCCATGGCCACTGACCTGCCCTCGAGCCGTACCAACGGCCCCAGCACGGAGCTGGAAAGTTCCCTGGAGAAGTTGCTAAGGTAGACGACGCTTGTTCAAAAAATGATGTACATGAGCAAGACTGTCTGAGGAATCCTTCATCCCTTTTAATGAGGAAATACTATTAATGTCAGATACTGATTGAGCAACCAGAGAAAGTTTTTTGAGGCTTTCAAAGCACATTTATCAACTCAAAGATACCGCTGCCCCGTATTTCAGAATCGCGTGGACAGAAACATCCCATTTTCTTTTCAAACTCGGCCTCATTTCCCTCTTTCCAAACGCCCCGCATGCCCTGACTTTGCCTCGCTGGCACTCGCACCTTCCCTACGCCCGTGCCTGCTGCCAACGGCAGCGCTGCCGGAACACCGAGCCGGGCTGGACCGCGCAAGCTCGGTGGCCTCCAGCGCGGATGAAGGCACCACGCAGCCCAGGATAACTCAGCCCCAAGGCCCCAGCAAACGAAACCGGTTGCAAAGGGCAATAGCAGGGAGAGATCCAGCTGGGAATGGGGAGAAAAGCAGGACTTTCTCAGCAACCCATCTCATGGAAAACCTACCCTATCAACAGGACATTGAGGAATGAAAATTCTATGCTTATTTTTTCCAGGGCAATGCCTACAGCATCCTTCGGCACGCTGCAGGGAGATGTGCACGTCCCACCTATAGCACACAAATAGTCCTTAGCCTGGTCCCCACTTGCACAAAGGGCACGTGGAGAGGTCCCCGCGCTCCACACCGTACGGGAGTGCGGTGGATAACCAAACTCCGTGCTGGGACAGGGACCCTGCTCATACCATCCTCGTCCCACGGGCAGACAGCTTCACGCCCCAGGACTGCTTGCTGCTGAGACACATCTCACTTTTTTATAGAAGAGCTCATTGCTAAAGACCATGCATGTGGAAAACAACTGGTCCACGCTAGTTCCCATCACGATTTTGACCTCCAGCTTTTGACCAGAAAAAGAAACGATGTCCATGTTCAAAGTGGGCACTGAGTGTATTATCGTGCCTATATATCACACTCGTGTATCCACATTACAAAGAACAGACACGCTGAAGATGCACTTCTGAGACACAAGTGTGCATCCTCAACCGGCACGGAGCTCCGTGGCTGGGTGTTTACAACGGCATCTGCCTAGCAAGAACCTAAACTGGAGCTGTTGAAGCCGACGTCCTTCTCCACAGGAAAAAAAAAAGGCCTTGACCACAAAAATCCCACTTCTTACCTGACTGTCCTGTGTTTTTCCCAACTTTTCCAGCAATACCCAACCTACGCTTGCAACGGTTCAGCGCCTATCGAGGCTGATCCTCCCACAGCCAGGCAAGCCGTCTGTGAAGCTTTCAAATAAAACGATGTGGGATTTACTTTTTAGCTAAGGGACAACTACTTTTTACTTTTTAACACAGAAACAAATGTAAATAGGTTTGTTGGCTATTTTTAATGAAGTCCTCATCGCGTCAGGAAAAGTCCTCGTCACCACACAATAAAAGCATTGCAGTGGCTATCCTCCCTAAAAGGGATCCCCACAATAGCTGGGCTTTAGAAAAGCATCCTGATACAAAGAATTCATTCTTCTGATTTACTTGAAACTACTTTGCCTTAAAAGAAAAAAAAAACCAAACCTGATTTAAATTTTACCCTAAGTTTCCAGCATCACTCAGGGATTTGGCCGTTTTCTTCCATATCAAATTAAAAACCTTACTGAGTAAAAAGATCAGACAAAATTTTGAGCAAATATCCTTAGGATGAAATCTGATTGACAATTTATTTCTGCTTTAAAATCTCCAGTAAGTGTTCATCTCGACAATAAACGTAGTAACTATCTAATTTGTCTCTTGATACCTTTACAGGGGTTCATCCCTGTTCTTTCAGTGCATTACAAGGTATTTTGTAACACACGTACTGGCTTTAAACACAAAAACGGTAATTTAACCAGACGCAATGTTTATTACAAAGCTCACGCAGCTCACTATCTGTCCCTCACCCACAAGACTAAATCTGTAGATAGAGAAAAATACAACGTGAGTGAGGCTGTCTCAACACCTTCCATTTAGTTCTTCGTCCTTCCTTTCTCTTGAAACCGTCAGCAGACTGCGCACAGGACCTGCGCTCGCCTTGCAAACGCTCCCCTTGCCGGCTGCTCCGGTTTAGGACTAGTCCGAGCCTAAGAGGGCTGTATGGAGATGCCTCCCTACGAAATATTTCCCCTGAGTTTGCAAATGCATTTTGCACCCAGCGATGATGCCCGCAGCCACGCGGTGGGTTTCCCAGGCTGAAGAGCACTCCTACTCTCCCATCGTATGTTACTTAGAGTCATACAATCATTTAGGTTGGAAAAGACCTTTAAGACCATCGAGTCCAACGGTACTTAACGGGGGGTCACAGCAGCTGGGTTGAGAAGAGAGATGTGCAGCACAGAGGATGGTGCGGAGCAGGTTTAGACTTTGTTTAGATACCGATGTTATGAGCATATTATGAATATGGCAAATGGATGAAACCAAGGAGCAGGAGAAACATGAGCTACACCTCTGCGGCCAGGGCTAAGTGCCACGGTGGCAGGTCCAGAGGATTTGCTGTCCCCTGCATCTCTCGTCGGTGATGCCGCATTATTTTCACACCCCGTGGAAGGTGTGCTCCATCCCCATAGGCACCGCAAGCCCTGCCCACAGCCTGTGTTATCACCAGGGCTCAGGCAGCACAAACTCGCCGGTGTGACCATCCAGCTCCCCACGGTGTCAGCGAGAGCCGGGGACGGACACGACCGCCCGTGGGGTGTGTGCACCAGGCGAGCGAGATTGGCAGGAGAAACCCACCGACCGGTCCCCTCCAGGCAACAGCGGGGCCTTCCCGCTGCACCCCGTGGGTGTCCCGCTGGAGGAGACCTCGGTGATACACCCTCCTGTGATGGTTTTAAATGACTTTTTTACATCATCAAAAAATCCAGAGCACCCGCAAGTTTTATCTCGTTGATTGAACAACCACCAGGTACCACGTTCGCATGACCCTCTCTGGCACAACCAGCTCACCTGGCCAAATAACCCTGCCTTGGACACCCACCAACCCCATGACAATTTTGTGCTTCACTACAGATATATCTCACCCCAAAACATGAACATGCTGAAACATCCAATCATGTTCTGGCACGCATGCGAAAAAAAAAAAGCCCATGGCAACAAAGACGACAGCTTGCCAATGGCAGCTGCTGCACGCACACACAAAATTAAACTATATTCTTCTGAAAAGGGATATTATTATGGCATTTGTTTCCCCTCACCCATCACCCTCACCCATTCCCTCACAAAATAAAGGGGGAAACATCAACACATATCAAATGTTAGGAGGGATGAATTTAAAAAAGAGAGAGGGGTGCTGCTCTGAGGATGGATGGGATGGAGAAGGCAGGGTTTAACAGGAGATCCAACTGGGATCAGGGCTGGATGCATGGAGCCGCCCTGAAATATTGGCTCACCTACGGGAGTTGTATGGCACATGCAAGTAAAACACTCAGCCTTTCTCTTGCGGGAGGCCCGCGGATGCTGAATTGCACCAAGTTTGGTCAAGCCGTCCCTCGGCTATAACCCAAACCTGTGAACGCACACTTCTGTACGTTAAATCGCATCTGATGATACCTATCTTCGCTTCCTTTCCCCGGTGCGGACCCGCCTGCTGCCTCCCGTGCTGCTATGCGATGCACAAGATAGCCGTCTCCTCACTTGTGAAGATAAATGTCATATCGGACCTCTGACATCATGTATTCTCCAAGTAATTATTTCTGATATCATAAGAGTTGTACAGGGTGCACAATAAAATTAAAAAGTAGAAAGCAAGGTTAATAAGATTATCGTGTTGGTATAATAGGTAATGCATTTTGCAGTATATCCTTAAATCTGCCCTCTCAAAACATAATTAAATAACTGTGATTTATATTTTAAAGGAACGCAGACATGCAGTGTATCCTCCTACCCACATATGCTAATTGCTTTCAGCCCCTAAAAATCACACAGTTGTTTGCAGCTTTTTAATCCTCATGTGTAAATAACCTGACTCAGGTCCAAGTTATGAACAATAAAGTCCAGGAAACTTTCAGAATAGCGTGTCATTAAACCCGTCTTGATTTTATCTGGCTAATCTAATGGCACTGATGTGTACCGAAGCCTGCGGGGAAGGAGGAACGACTCCCCGGGGCCCTTTGCACTGGCCCGAGAGCCAACGTGCTGGCTTGCCGTGGCACCGGGACAGCACTCGGACCGGGAGCGTAGATGCTAAGGACTCGGAGAAGAGATCGAGACCCCCTTAGGAGGAACCGATGGATGTATAAGCTCAGGACACCCTCATCGTGGGTCTGCGTGCACCGCAGTGGTGCAGGGACCGCGGGCAACGTACGCCTACATGCTTCGCTATAGGCAAAACTCAACTGCGCAGCTCTCCATTTTGCACTCGCACGTGAGAGTCTGGCACACAAAATGGAGGCCCTCGTGTATTTTACGGACAGCGGCTACGAATCCAGCCCGAATCTACCCGCTCTGTGGGGACCATGTCCTCCTCCTACGTGCCGAGCTACGACGATGCCGCGCACGGGGCTGAGCTCACGGGCCCACATCCATCCCCTGGGTGGGGGACATGGCGTGACACTAGCTAGAAACACTTCTAAAAAAAAAATACATAAATACACTGTTATCTCTTCAACATTAATTACACTGTGACGAGGGGATCGGCCGGGGCACCACCCTCGCAATAGGGTATAAAATGCTGCAACCCCCCAAAGAACTTGCCGGGATAAAACTGCCCCGCACATCATGGGCACCACGACCCACGTGCTGATCCCAGCTGGGCTTTTTGGTGGCTACTACCATAACACAGGTGATAATTAACAATAACCAAAGACGAAATGAAGAGTGTCACATGAACGGAGAAACCAAAAGCGATTAAAATGAATTTTAGTCCACTGACAACTCTTATCTACCAAGAGCCCTCACTGTCGTAAGGAAACCTTCAGGGTCGGCTGCCGTTAGGAGGCTAAAATAATTTGTTCTGAATTTACAGCCTGTAATTTAATCAGCAGCTCCAGCCCTTGCCTGCATGGAAGGGAGCGGGGGCAGAGCCGGACCCACGGCTCCCCACGAGGATGCCCCAAACGCTGTCCGACCGCTGACAGACCCCAAGGCCCGGAGGGTCCGACTTTGGGATATGCGTAGCAAAGCACAGGCTTTTGGGGAGGGGCTGAGGGTTTACAGAGCAGCGGGCTGGGGTTTGTTTGCTGGTTGCGAAAGCCTCGGCCGGTGCCTGAACCCGAAGCACTGAGGGGAGGAGGAGGAGGAGGAGCTGCGAAGAAGCTCAAGGCACGGAAAGCGAGGGATGCCCTTTCTTTACATCTGAACGGGGAGAAAATACATAACTGTAACAATAAATAGCGGGTTTTATGAACAATTAGGATTCCACTGTCTCTTTGAAGGGTTTGAAAAGCTGACACGATGTTTTGGGTTCTCCAGATTCAGCTTTGAGGCCTCAACCAAGAGAAACATTCAGCCCCGCTGTGTACAGCAGTGACCACAACAAAGATTGTGGTTTCTCCCACACTCGCCTTAAATAGATCTAAATTAATGCTATTCATCATTGGGTGGAAAAGAAGGGAAATATAAAAGTGCAGTCGCTTGTAGACAAGCCAGCAGTGTTGGGCAACTTTTTTACCACTCAAAGGCTTCTCCTGCTTCTGCACCTCGAAGCCCGACGGGGCAGGGAGGTATGGAAATAACGCGCCCTTATAGCGGCCAAACCCATCACCTGGAAAACATCCTGGGCATACGAAATACGTCTTTATCCCGTGTTTATTTGTTGTTGCTGTTGTTGTTGTTGGAGAAAGGGGAAAGCTAAACCACATGACTGAACTCCTGCCAAGGGTTCATGATAGAGCAGACCGTCCCAAGTGCCGCACCAGTTAGTATCTGAATTATCACGGATACTCACCGGCTCAGTTACAACTGCACGGGGAGAGCAGTTGTCCCACCTAAATCCTCCTTCTGTCAGCTACCGCCCTGCTCGCGGCTGCAGAAAGCGCTCGGTCCCGCTCCCCGAAGCGGAGACCATCGATAGATGGAGGTATCTTTCTGCGCCACGCAGGGTGTGTAGATCGCCACGTTTCGTGCACGCCCGTGATAGGCAGGTGCGTGAAATTTGGGGTGTCGAGGAGCTGTAACTGTCATCTCCCCACCTCTCCAGACTGAGACACAGACCCGCTGACTTTTTATGGGCACCTTTTATTTGGCTAAAGCGATTCAAAATCTGCCTTCTCCTGGTATTCCTTGAGGGTAGAAATACCGCGAGATGTCTTCGTCTCACTTTTTACTTCAAAACTATAAACTTCACACCGTGGCAAAAATTAATGGAGGAAAACAAACCCCAGACACTAAAATCTCAGCTGAACGCTGAGCTGCTCGGGTCCCCCGGGGGGTGCGCAGGGAGCCCTGTAGAGGGAAAGCGTGCGGAGTACCTGCTGCCAAAGCTCGCCGTGTATTTTTTAGGAAGAGTAAATGTAATCTGTCTGCAGAAATGTACAGGGACTATTAACATCGCAAACAAAACTTTAAGGACCGTTTTGGATGCACGCTGGAACAGCCACAGGCTGGAAGTAGGTTTTCAAAAGCCCTGTGTATGGAGGGAATGTCACGGATGCTTTAAAAGTCTTCAGATACGTGTAAAACCGACATATATATTACACATTATCTCCACAGAACAAACACCATTTGAAATGTGCCCCTTTTTAACTACCATTATGAGCTGTCTAAAGAGCATTTTGGTTGAAACTTGGGAGGAAAAAAAAAAAAAAAAAAAAAAAGCCCACTGATCTTACACCTGCTCTTTAGCAGTGGGAAGTAGGTTCTCAATCTGTTAACATGACCATCTGGCCAATCTGCATATCACGGCTATCTGGATTACTGTACGATGGAATGACAATAACGTAGCCAAAACAAAAGTAAAATGCATCAAAAACTAACAGTAGCGCAGCCCTTTTGATTTTAAATTAAATAATAAATGCGGTATCACAGCAAAGCGAGAAAGTCAGCTAAATAATTAAAAATGAGCCTTCGCTACGGCATAATTAAGTAAACAATATGGTGTGTGTTTCTATATGAGCCAGCAATAGTTTCCACCGTCGAACGCTCCACTTTTGCAAAGCAGCTATCAGGAGTTCAAGACGCTGCGACAGCTCTTTTGGTGATGTACAGTATTGTCAGGACACCTCTCACATCCCTGCAACACGCCGAACCGGCTGCGGCTATTAACGGGATTAATGCGGCAACAATCAATACCAATTGTACTAAAAGATTACGGTGCAAAGCCATATGTACTTTTCCGGCTCCCCGATACCTCCATGGGTATTTTGGCTATCTGCAGTCGTCTTCTGCATTAAAACCAATCTTTGAGTTATTCCCATCGATGCTTCTTCGAGGTGGTCCAAGTAGAAATATTTTAAAGCCGCCGATGGGAATGTAAAATGGGTCTGCTTAAAGTTCAAGGTCATGTGCTATATACCATTGCTCAGGCAATTAGCCACAGAGCATATTTAGACGCTAAGTAAATTTTCACAGTCGCAGAAATAAGGCTGACTTCTTGCATCTTCGCCGGCTTCTGTTCTAAACACGCACAGAAAAATGAGCTCACGTAAATAAAACCCTATCCCCAGATTTTTCTTAAATTTGGGATTTTTAAACGCCCTTCTGAAAGATTAAAAGATTTTCTCTGCCTCAAATACCTCGCTCGCTTAATTCTCGCCCGAAGCGCGTAACGATGGCCGTCCAAAAAAATACATCGGGCATCGCAGCATCGCCTCCTGGCCTGCCATCCAGCTTCGTCCACTGGAGAAGTCTCTAAAAACTGCGACCTCTCACAAAATTTAACTACTTCCATTGCGAATCTATTCTCCAATCTGATCACATTAGCAGAAGGAACTCCAAAGCAGTAAAAAACTCCAGAAAGTTCTCGGTTGAGTGCCTACTAATGAACAAAGGTTAACTTTATCTAAAAGGTCAAATGCCTGGTGGCTAAGGTTGTGACCTTAACAACTTAAATTGTGACCTTGCCACGTGCCTAGTATATTGTAGATTCTGATACAGATCATCTGGTAAAGGACCGGTCATAAATTAGCTTTACTGTTCGACTCCCACAAAGAAAACGGTTTGCCACAATGGTTTCCAACTTGTCATTTGATACAAGCGCAGAATAAGTGAAAACTAAAAAGCGAACCCAAGTTCAGGGTATGAAAATGCCGCCTGCTTTTAGTTAAGCAGATTAGAAACTGCAAACTGAGAGCAATACTCTAGATTTCAATACATTTTTTGGTCAACCTCTAATTCACAAAACACCGATCTTCCTTTCCTTTTTTTATTTCTTTTTTTTCTTTTTTTTTTTTTTAAACTAAAATGACATGTAGCTTGCCTATTTGCATATTTTTGTTTTCTCTTTCTAGCCAGTTCTTAAAGAGAATAATTGATTTCAGTAGCTTTGTAAGAAGCACTATTTAAATCTGCGCACATGTGTTCCCTTACAGATGATAGTGCCTACTGAAGAAAAAGCGCGGATTCAAAGCAGTAATTATCGTACATGTTTAGAAGGAAAGGGACATCTCGCTGCCGAAGTCATCTTGAATAAGGGCATCGTGGAAGAGAATACTCCCCCCCTGAAGAAAGAAGACGAAGACTGGGGGAAAAAAGAAAAAAACCAGGAAAAAGAGAAGCGAGCACTATGGGTGAAAAGGTCACAATGGTTTTGGCACGTATCTTCAAGCACGTTTCGGAGTCTGTGCCTCCTGCCAATACTGGCAACTTCTCAAAACTTTTAAGGAGGTAAAAACATTGTTTAGTGTTTACAAATCTTCTGTACTATAGCAGATGCTCGTCAAATCCGCTATACGTAAGTTGACCAGCCTACCTAACATTTGCGCTGGCGTCTTCCTCCTTATACATAAGCGGTCCATACATTCGGGGAGCGAGGTCTGATGGAGTTTGAGACAAAGGACCCTTAATATTTTTTTTCTTTTGTAATTTTCCTGTTGCGCACCCGGCACAAGCTGCCATTACTGCGGGTCTGCGGGAACCAATGGCTGTCAACTTGGCCAATGTTCAGGTGTAACAAAGGCTGCTGGGATACATCGGAGGGGGGAGGAAAAAAAGGGGAAAAAAAGGGGAAAAAAAAAAAAGGTAGCCCATATGCGAGGCTTTCGGCACACCTCTGTGAAGCGATATGGACGGCGACCACGCCGTGCTACCTCCTAAAAATCATTTTGTCCCCCTCCCCGCTGAGGTTTAGCAGGGAATAGACCAGCACACGCTACTGCATTAAGAGCACAATGCGATGCGTGCGATCAGCAAACAACGGCCGAAAACACGAAGCCGTGCGGTCTGTACCAGCGCGCTACTGCTTACACAAAACCGCAGATCTAACCCCCAAAAAACGAGCCTAAGCCTCGCGCTAAGTTTCTGCGGCAAACATCTAGTCCGAAGAACAATGAGCGCAATTGCTGCCTGTTGACGACGAAGGCAGAAATAAATAAGAGTTCGCTATCAAGGCTGCTGTTTGCCAACAGCGTGCTGATAAGATGGTATATCCCTAATCACAATATTGAACTTTTATAATATCTATCGCCCGATTGTTGTAACAGGGAGAGGATCCCTTCAAGTTCCCCGGCGTACTTACACCCCCGGGTTTGGTCCTTTTCTCCCCATCCTATAGTTCTGCGACCCTACACGCAGGCTAAACCAAGACCGCTGGTTTCTATTAACAACTTTCGCACTCCACAGAAGGCTGCCTTTCACTTAGGAAACACAATACGGACCAGTATTTACTGGCACCACGCTATATATAAATCTAAATAATAAAAACCTGCGTGCCGTATGCCAGTCCATAGCAGTTTTCAGCCGTGGATATCAAAGCATTTTAAGCACATCACCCCACTCCGATATGCGGAGGAGGAAACTGAGGCAGACAAAAGGGATGCCAGTCCCCGGTCTCCTCGGGGCTGGCGATGGAACGGGAGGGGACCCGTAACGCCCCAGCCCTAATCTCCCTTCGGTTGGCCATTAATTGGTAATCCTTCCTTCACCGTGCCCCATAATAAATTGCAGAGTAAATAAATAATTTTCCACAATATTTGCCTACTTCCCCTTCACCATAAACGCGCAATGCGATTCACCACATCGCACCGAAGCGCAAAGTAAATTTCGCAGCTTATCTGTAGGAGGAAATACCGTGAGGATACTCGAAAGTTATTTCCGAACAGGGATCATACCCGTAAAAATCACAGCGGCAACACTGCCTATCGCAACAACCACTGCGGGGACTCAGCGCAGAAAAACTGTGAGGTAGCCAAAACTTTCTGCAAGGCGCTCCGAAAGAAGCTGGCGTTGGAAATGCAGGCTCTCACTGCTGGAATTTGCTCCGTTTTCTTACTGATATATATTCATACAGAAGTGGTTCCTACTAATACGACTGCTCTCCCCTCCGCTCCTCTTTTTTTTCAGCCTGTCCAGCCCCTCAACTTGGAAGTAAGGCTAAAAGCCAGGGGCACCTATGCATACCATACGGGAAACCCGGGGCCTAGCACTTCACACGCGCACATTTTTCTGCAATATGATCACTCAGGAGAACTACAATAGCATATTATTTTATCCAGTAAACACACTACACATCCTCTGAGCGCACCGAGTCGCTCCGCGGGCAGGGCGTACTTTGCGCTGGAGTCACAGATCCCAAGATTTTCATCGCACGTAAAAACACCTCAGCACCACCACCCCCCCCCATAAGCACAATATTATCAAACCAGGAATTTGTCTCGAGACCTGCTCAGCTTCTAGGTGTATAAATTGTGATATTTCAGGGGGGTTTAAATGTCTCCTTTTCCCCACAGGATTACCCGGGGGTTTGGTTCACGGCCGCTCAGACCTGATGATGAGGTTTGCTATCCAGGGACCGTCTCCTCCTTTCCCTCCGAGCCCAGTCCTGCGGGATTTACACTCCCCATCCCATCCCTGTGGGGTGAGGATACCTGGTACTCCTGACCCACAAGCCTCGGGCACCTCTAGCCCTCTCAGACTACTTTGTGCATAACATATACAAACTTTGGTTTATTTTATTATTTTTTTTTTTTAATTAAAATCTATCTGCTTTCCACCCAAAGCAGGATAAAGGAAGCCACGTCTGGCTGCGATCCCTCCTAGGACAACATTTAATATAACACCTGTGAAGGATGCCCAAAATACCGTTAACCCCAGGAAAACGAGAGCCGCTTTTACGTGGCTGCATCTTAAAAGCCTCTGAAAAAAAAATTTTAAAAAGGGGGGGGAAGTTTTGGCACTCTCCTCGCCGCCCCGGGAGGGCAATAACCGGCATCCCCTGCTCCCTCCCCAGTTCATGCAACCACGGCCGGGACACGGCACCCGGCACGGAGATAAACCGAAAAGTTGTAGAAGGTGGTATAGAAAGGCACTTACCTGCTGCGTGCACAAAGTATGCCAAATATAAATCGAGTTCCTTAACAGAAACTCCTATATGGTGGGGCTGTACGCACAGCCCGGGGTTAGAGCACTGTGGGGACTTTACAAGGCGCTCGCCATCAGTACTTTCGAGCGGAATACCTTTAAATAAAATCACCATAACAAGGTCCAACCTCCAGACCTTATCTGCCTGGCGAAGGCAGTCAATTCTTCTCATCTTGCCCTTCTGGTCTGGATTGGAAAGAACGCAACACGGAGGCTTTTTTCCTGTGACTGTGAGAACAAAATCCTCCCGAAATTCAGGCCTGATATCTTTCCGGAGCTTTGCCAGAAGTCTGGATGCCCATTTTTGCTTTACCTCGGGTTTTTCACTTAGCAGTTCGTCCTTCACGGCTCTCTCTTCCTCTTTTGACATGCGTTTTTCATGTTTTTTGAAGTATTTTCTTTTTCGGGCTTGCAGGTTGAACCACGTGTACGCAAACGCTCGGACGTGAGGCAGAAGTGCTTCGATGAAGGGATGAAATTCATCCTGAAAAAGTTACAGAGAAGGGTCGATGTCACCGAAATTATCAACAAAAAGCCTCCCAGAAACGGGGCTTTCGCGAGGCGCTAAGGCTCGTCGGGACGGTGAGGATTAGGAGGGTGCTTATACGTTTTTACGGGCTGCAGGACTCGGACCCCTCGCCGACGGACCCCGACCCCGCCACCGTCGCATCCCCGCTTCACCTCGCACCGACCCAAAACCTCTGCTCTCACCCCCCAAACACGGGGTCCAACTTCAAACCAGCACCCAGGCGGTGATGCTGCAAAGCTGGGGCCCCTTCCCCAATCCCCAAATCTCTTCAAAAAAATAAAAAGAAGGCAGAATGAGTTAAAAGCTAAAAATCCCGCCGCAAGTCCACTTGCGGAGCGCGTATCTCCCTTTGCTCTCTCCCTGACCCCGCTGCTTGCGGTGTAGCCAACGTATGCCCGCCAATTTGGCAAATCCTAAACATTTGGATGCCAATCAATGTTTGTATGGGGAAGTCTAAAGTATAGTAAAACTTTCCCTAAGATATATTTGGAAATAGCAGCAGGCAGTATAGTAAAATGCCAATATAGCTGCATATACAAATACAATGAAGGGTGGTTTTCTCTCCGTTTCCTAAACGGTGAAGGGAGTTGAAAGTAACGCGGCCGATTTATCCCGCTTGCGCAACAGTAACTAACACTAAAATCCTAGAAAAAGCAAGTCTCACAATTTTTCTTTTTTTAAGTTTTGTTTATATTTGGTCAAAAAGAAAAAAAAATAAAATCTGATATTCAGGCATATTAGGACAAGCCAAGCTCTGAGCCTTTCTATAAAATAAAGAGAAACAGGAAAAATCGAAAAATGCGGTAACAGAAAACCTTCGCATGACTTGTGCAAACACACAGAGAATTATTAATTTTTTCTTTACACATTGTGTGATGTTTTCATACATGTAAAAAGAAATGCCCTACTTGGAAAGTTAGTTTAGCCATCCAGAGGCACTGCTTGCTTTGTGTAACGATGAGTTAAAAGATCACCCCTCTTCCTTGGCACAAAAATAACCACGATTAAAATTAAGCTGACAATAATAAAAAAAAAAAAGCAAGAAAGACCCCTCAATTCTATTTTTTTTTAAAAAAAATAAATACATATATCCTCAAGAAGTACTACATAGATCAACCAAAGAGATCAAAACGTATTATAATATACTGGGGCCCCGCTGCTCGTTTTTCTCTGAATAAATGAATGACCGAACTCCAGGCTGCACATGAAAACGTATATAGCCTGGGAGGGCCTGATCCAGCACCGCGTGCTGGGGACGTCCCTGCTTCCAGGGGCCGAGTGCCTCCTTTTCTCAGGATTGGGCCCTCCAGGAGGGAAAAGATAAAGTAATTTGTGCGACGTTTCCCCCAGCGTGGTGAAAGTCACCCCCTGCCTACCCTTGCAAGACAACATTGGGGATTTTTCAGATTAACTAACTTTTTTTTTTTTTTTTTTAAATTATCCCATGGAGTACATTTCCTACCCAAATCATTTCAGGTTGTGTGAATATTGTTATTAAGACAGACATCTTGCTTCAACACCTTATTTTAACTTGCACTTCCTTTTCAAAAATTATGAAAAATTGAGAAATCAATAGTACAAATCTCTATCAGCAAAACCCTGTCGTAATTCACGACCTTCTGCTGACTTACCAAAAGCTTTCATTGCACTTATTCCGAGTGGCCCCTGAATTGTAAATACTTAAATCTATAGGTAACACCACAGCATTTATTTTTTTATTTTAAACACAGATTGCCACAAACTACCAAAACCGGCACAATATATTTCATTATAGCACAGCAGAGCAGCAGTAATCACAAGTACTATGAATGATTATTAAAATACAAGCAGGTAAAGAAATCATTCTAATGATTGGCATATTCTCACACAGACACCCCCCCACTGGAAAAGATCATAGTTTCAAATTTCAATAAAGTTAAAAAAAAAAAAAAAAAAAAAAGGTGCCAGAAAGGTTTCCACTTCTTCCTTACGAGTCATTTTCCTGGCATGTGTTTGAATGACTCTCAGCCTTTTATACCTAGGAGCAGGGGGGGGGGGGGAGGAAAAAAAAAAAAAAAAAAAAAAAAAAAAAATCTAAAAACTACAGGTCCCTACAAGCTATTAAAAATAATAAACCCTCTCTCCTCTGATCCCTCCTGTCCTTCCCCTTCCCCACTCAGGGAGAGTCAAGGAAAAAAGG